AGGAAAAACACTCTGCAGGGGCAGCAAGTTTTTGTCCGACGATTGTATCCACCTGGAACCGTTTCCTCCCCGAGAGCCAGTTTTATTTTCAAGTCCTCCTGCAGATAGGACTGGAATGCAGACAAAGCCTGCCCTGCAGACAAAGCAATTTATCTGAGAGTTTTAGAAGGAAATAACAAACAGTGCTTAAGACTTTAAGTTGTATGTGACCAGTGACTCGGTTTACAGCATGGGAATATGTGGGTTCATTCTCCAAGCTGCAAGAAAGCGAAAAGCTGCTAAAAAGAGCAGTTTCTCAAATACCCATAGAAATCATCAGTCAGTACAAAGTGACTGGAAAATAAAAGAAAGCGAAGCTATTCTCCCATACCAGTCCCTAAGAATAATTGTTTGTCAAGCTTCTCTGTTTCATGTACTTCCCTGAGGAAACTTTCTGTATTCCCTCAGGGAAATACAGATTTTTACTGGCAGTTATTTTTGTAACATCAGTGCGAGAGTTCATATGAGAAAGGTTGCAGCTTTCCGTACCATCACCGCTAAAGCATGGGAAATCCACTCCAGTTCATATGGGTCTCTGAAACCTAGATTCGTTCCACACTGGAATTTGTTCCTCTGTTTGAAAACAAGTAGTAGTTTTTTTGCAAATGTTACACATTGCAGTGGAGTGGGTGGGTAAAACTATTGGCTAGGCCAGTGGCACTAGGCATGAAAAAATTGTGTTCACATCTCAGCTCTCCTTAGAGGAGAACAGCCCACAATAACAATTTCAAGCACATTTTTCCACCCTCAGCCCTTGCTCTAATCCTGGAAGTAGCTCTTTCTTTTAAAATCTTCTTAACAGAATTTTGTCAAACTCTGAAGTTGCTACAAAGAAAAGTTGAGTGATGCTGGAAAAGCATATTTCAGCAAAACCCAAAGTTCTCTGAAAATACAGCAACTATTTGTAACCAGTGTGTAATGAATTTGGCTCTATTCCAGTGCCAACACTGACCTGCCGTTGCGCACGTTATTTCTTCTTTCTCATGCCCTCGCCTCCCGGCATTCTCACAGGAGTGGGCAAGAAGGTAATTTTAAACCACTTTTGGCATAAAAATGATTTTCCACTACAAAGGGCTGATTTATCAAAGTAAAAAAGAGTTCATAAGAATAGCGTAGATTTCAGTGAATCTCCTGGTAAAAGAATTGGGGAACCCTTTTTAAATTCAAGAGCATTTTTATATTCCTGTTAGCTAATTAACGCAGTTGTTGGGTTTGTTGGTTTTTTTTTTAATTAAAAAGGAGTTTGAAAACAACACATCTAAAAATGCTCACAGTTTAAAAGGTTGATTGATATGGGATAGATTTGGGACAAAAGTTAGTTACACTTTTTGGTTTTGTAGTTTGTCACAATTCAGAATTGTGTCTTAATCCTAATTCTTGCTGGGTGATTTTATTTTACTCTTAGGGGAGGTAGAAAACCACTTACCATCTAGCGATTGTGATATTTTAGTCTCCCTACGCACTTTTCCCTTCGTGTAACAGAATTCAGCGAGCAGTTCCAATACACGACGTGCCAGATGGTTATAGTTTTGCAATAAAATCTCATCAGTATCCTCTCTAAATTACCCAGACACTACTCCTGCTCTCGGGTCCCTCCTGTTTTCTGTACGGCTCTATTCAGCCCTAACATTATTTGATTGATCATTTAGACCTCTCTTAGACTTTTCTTCAAACACCGTCTTGTAGTTGAGGTCTGATTGGAGATCATCTGTCCCCGAACCTGCCATTGCTGTTGCGCTGGAGGGGTCTCCTCAGCTGTTGTTATCCGAGTTCCCTTTGTTATAAAACGGGATGGGAGGGCAGCCAGACTCTGGTATAAGCCAATGTCTCTTGAGCGTTTTACCTTCGACTGTAAAAATCAACCGGCTCTTGCCTTTCTGAGAAAGAGACATCAAAATGAGCGCTATTGAGAAGCCTCAACCCTGACGTCCTCTGCTTCCCTTGGGTCCCCAAACGGACGCCCCATTAACACCAACGCCAGGCACCCACTGCAAACTGGGATGAGCCCCGCAGTGGGGTCCCAAGAGGAGCGGCAGACCCTCCAAATGACGTGTGGTCACTCCGTCAGACACTCTTGATTTAAGTAGCGTTTTCACTTGGGCCTTTTTAACTTGAAACTCACTTCTTTTGTCTTCCCAGATTTTAGGCTGGTGTGTGATAGTTACCACAGCTCTTCTCTCCCTGCTGACCACTTGCTGTGCCAGCTGCCAGTCGAAAGTCAGCCACCTCCAGCTGATGTTCTGGAGGGTGTACGCGGAGAAGGAGAAGGAGCAACTGGAGAAGATTTTCCAGCTGTATGCCACCAAGCTGAGCGAGAGAAACCTGAAGTGCTTTTTTGAGAACAAGGAACCAGAAGCGATTCCCTTGCCAGCTTTTCAGGCGTGGGAAGATGCTTCCCAGCTCTACTCTTTCAGCAGTAGCAAACAGCATTACAGCACAATCCACAGGCTCGTTGAAGAAGGCCAGAAAGAAATCAATGAGGGAAGAGAGACAATGCTGGACTTTGTAGACAGAAGTGAAATACCGTAGATCAAACATATGTTCAGTTTTTCTATCTCTTGCTAATATAGCATCCTTCTAGATGGTTTCATCTCTATATTTTTTCACAACGGCCTCTCTCTCTGCCTCATCACGTTCCCTCCCAGTTACAAACTTGCTCCAAAAGGATGGAATGAAATTACTTCGCTACACCAGTGAAAAGGTCGCAGTCCTCCGTGGCACTCATGGTTCATGTTCTACTGATGTCACTGGCTCCGCATCAATAGCTGACCGCAAAAAGAGATGAATAATGACTTCTACAAGAGGGTTTTAACAATATCCTAGGTAAAAGGCACTATAGTATGCTCCTCCTACGCGAATTGAGACTATCATAAAGTGACACCATTTAAAAGGTGTGAATATAATAGTAGAAGATGTATGTGGCTTTCTGACAGAAAGTAAAGGTTTTGCTTC